GGTAGTTCCTCCTTGTGGATAACAGCACAATCATCCCAAGGATTTTCTGTCAAGGTGCAGCCTTACATATGAAATTAAATCACATGTTTACTTCATATATATTTGTTACATTGGGTAGTGCAGCCTGGCATTGTGAAAGAGATTGTTTAAACAGCTTCTGATCTGAAAAAGACGAAAAGACTGAAGGAAAACAGTGGCATTTGCTTTTGTTCTCTTAAACTTGAATGTTTTACCTTGGTTGGTTACAAGCAAAACCCCAAGATAAACAGAGAAGGTCTCCATCCCCCCCCCCCATTTTATCTAGTAGGGTTATATCCTCACCAGCATTCTCTATACACGAATTTTTCTACTGCTGTGGACACAGGTTTAGCTTATCCATCTGCTCTACGAGCTCTCCCCTGACATCAGGTACTGATGTGTTGAAAACAATGTGTTGAAAACAACACATTGTGTTGTTTTCATGTGATTTATTACTTATCAATTTGAGGAATAGATATTCTTGTGACAGGAACTGTTTTATGTGAAACCATCTCGAATTTACTGTCCTTTTCTATACGTGTGCCTGTGTTTTCTGGGTTTAATTTGCAGATATCTTCTTTTGTTCAAATTTGTTGGTGTTTGTACTCCTGGGAGGAGCAACTGCAGGTACTCTTCTATATAATGTAAGCAGCCACTGCAATACTCTGCAGACTTCTATAAAGTAGATTGTGTGGGAATGGTACAAGTCACCTTTCAATTTGCTGAATTGGGTGTTCTTTCTTGTGAAGATGAAAAAACCTCGTAATAAAAAGAGTAGGTTGGAATTATTTGTAAGAGAAGAGACCTGCTTTTTCTGGTTTTCACCTTCTTTATCTGAGAAGAGACTAGTGCAAAATCTTCTGTGTTATTTTGTCCTGCTTTTAGTAGGCATTGCCTGTTTGGGAATGACCATGGCAATGGGAACCATGTGCAGTCACGTTTTCTATTGCAGTTGTAAACCGGGAACTCTTTTTCCCCGTACTGCAAAGACAGGAGTTAGTGTAATATAGATAAGGAATCTAAGGTTAGATAAGGCCAAACATCATTACTAAAACATCTCTGGGTTATGTTTTGATGTGTTTGTTATAAGATTTTACCATTTTAGAAACTGACACTGAAATTAGAGGTATATGAAACTGAGCTTTCTTTTGACTGTTTCATTTGATTAGTTGAGCTCCTTCAAGGATTACTTGGGTCGTGGTATTTGTACTGTAGTAGATACCATTCTGTATTTCCAACTTGCTGCTTCCAACTGTTCATGCTCAGAAAATATTATATATTTTATAATGAAATAGGTACAGCTTCTTCATATTGTGAGTAGTAACACTTGGAAAGGAGGGTGGCTCCTCTTCTCTTTCCTCTTCATATTTCCTTGCCTCCCCTGATTACTAGTCTGCAACACAAACATTAGGCATTAATTCCCATAAAGTCAGTTTGGAAAAAGAAAGCTTATTAAAATAAATATAGAGAGGGAAGATATAGTTGTTCTGGCTTGAGCTGCAGCTGTTACAAACTTACCATATGTAGTAGCTGGACCTTACAACTTTGAATTTTATTTCTGGAAAGCATCACTGCCATGTGTTGAATGAATTTTAATGCTCCATATTTTCTCAAAGCATTATCATGAATGATTATTATGAATCACTTTATTGCTCAGGAGCTTATGGCTTCTTGACATTAGGAAAAAAAAATGTTCCTTTTAGTGTGATTTTGGGAATTTTGATTTATGACTGTACATTGCTCTCTAAATGATTTTTGGAAGGTCACTCAGGGAAAGTGAGTTAACTTCAAAAACCAAGTTGATTCTAGAAAGAGTGTTTCAGATAAGAAAACTGCTCACAACTAAAACAGTCACTTTCAGGACAGAAGATATTTAGAAAAGGGAACATATTACATGCATTTACCATTAATGTTGATTTGTGGACCAGAAAACTTTATTGATGAATTAATATCTTAAAACAGAAACACATAGAATCAACGAGTGATAAAAGCATGAAGGGATTCAGCATTAAATAACTTTTATTAGGGTTACAAGGATAAAACAGCTATTTTCTTGTGGTGGTTCAATACTTCACAAAAGACAAGCCTGAACTTACTGTGAATTGAGTCAAGTGGCTCTGAGAGTAGTAGGGAATCTTATAATATCACCATCCAAATATTATGAGCCTCAGAGCTGTGATTTCTACTTTAACTTGATGTTTAAGAGCAGCACTTCTATGAGTAGCTTCTTCTCTTAATACTTGTGTAATTTGGAGGCAGGTTTTTGAGAGAAATCTAGTCTGTAAGCAAACTGGCAAAAATTGTTCTGTCCACAGATCTGGCCATGGGAGTGTGGGAGGGGAGAGAGGAAGCAGTGAGGCAATCTTTGAGACGTGACCCAAATACTGTTTTATGGACTTAAATACACATTCAACTGATAAAATGAACTATGGAGTGTGTGTTACAGAACTCCTGCTTGTATATAACCCCACCACTGTCTTTCTCCAAATGCTTGTAGGAATGAATTGTGTGTGTGCTACTTGTGGGATGAGACCATCACAGGTAATCACAGCAAGGTCTTCACCAAAGAGAAAACTTGAATGCTTTTGCCTTATGTAAAGACCAAGCACGGGTAACCAAGCACGGGTTGAGGTTGTTAATGATATCCCACATGTCTCAGAAGACCCATGGTCAGAAAAGCAGGTTCCAGGGGCACCCTGTGGGAACAGCAGAGCTGCTCAGCACAGCACGTGGGAATCAGGAGGAAGAGAAGGGTTTCAGAACTTGTTGCTGCTGTCCCCATTTTCTCACAACTGCCATGGTGTGGAGCAAGAGCCACTGTGAACACTTCTCAGAAAAGGAATTAGCAAGCCAAATGTAAACAACCAGGGGTTTCTGGTTTTTAAGGGCCCGTGTATGCAGATTGCAAACAGCAGCGTGATGAGTCAGCAAGAAGCTTGATAAAGCAATATGGACCAAACCTTTAAAATGACAAAACTAAAATAAAATCCTACTACTTATCAGGACAAATGCATTGCAGTAATTTTAATATCTCTCCTGTGCTATAAAGAAGGCAAATTGCCATGGCTTTAATAGGTCCTTCTCTTACCCTTTCAGCAATTCGTTGTGTAGTAGGAATTGATAGCAACACAGAGTTTTCCTTTTAATTTGATGTGCCTTATATGGGCACAGTGACTTAACTCTGCCTCGGCTGACTCTCAAATTCTGCAAGCTTTCTGTGAGGTAAACCTTACTGTAGTTGAAGCCAGAACTCCCCCAGTTTAATTTTGCAGATGTGCTCATGTGCCATGTTACTTCTTTAGAGACTGGTGCTTCCCAAAGCAATACGTCAGATATTGGATCCATGTATTTCAAGACTTTGTCTGGAAATAAGGCTACGCTTCTTACAGGAAAAATGTCTTATCAGAACAAGGGCAGAACTGGCAGGTCTCACAAAATAAAGCTCCTCTAGAGCAGACAAAGTGTTTCAGTAGTTCTGGAAAAGCACAGAAGTTCATGTTCCCAGTGCCAGGAAGTTTTGGTAAACACATAGTTTATTTGTGATTAAATGCAGCAAATGTAAATAAAATAGCCTTGTAACTTTATGTCCTTTAGCAGTGTTCAGTTATGCTATTTGATAATTCTACTCCACAGAATTAATTTTCACTGCTTGCCACTTATGTTATGTCTCTTCCAATAGTAAGCTCTGATGTTGTATGGTTTTTAGTATTTAGCTTGAATGCAGTCCAGCCAAAGTGTTGTTCTGGAAGTAACTTGAGACTTAAATGATTTTGTTTTCTAGGAGGCAAACTTTTTTATTTCCGCTATATGGGTTGTTTTTTTCTTCTTTCCCATCACAGCCTGTGCACGTGACACTACTTAGGCTTTAGTTGTTTTGACACTTACTTTTAGTGATTCCCCCAACACACAAACATCTTTTCCCCCCCCTTGAATTTATACGTGCCATCCTATCCATTTTCCAAGATACTCTGCCAGCTCATAACTGTATCTGCCAAGCTTTCAAGGATGATCAGAATTAAAATTTATAAGTAACTTCCTTAGAAAGTGTTACTATCACTAGTAATCACAAATAAAATTGCTATTTTAGATCACACCAACTTAAGCTAGATATCTGTAATAGCTTTTGAATGAAATAAATACAGGAAATGATATTGAAGATACCTTAAGGCAGAAATGGCTTTTGAATATTGATGCAGCTGAACTCAGAAAGGTGGGTATGTGTTTACTGCACATTTATGGTGAAGTCAGCCCTGTACTTGAGGGAAATGAGTTTTGAGGCTAGAGCTTTATAAAACATCAGGTTTTATCAGTTACAGGGCTGGCTGCACTTCTCTGACTTTTGCAGTTTCTGAGCAAACTCCATTAATTGGCCATCATATGTTTTCCAAACCTGTAATGAAATTTGTACCCTTGTTATGCTTGGAACATAAGCTGGGCTGCAGTACAGCTTTGTATCCATCCTGGTTATCCTGAGGAGCCAACTGCACTCAAACACCTGAGGTTCTTCCCTGGCTCCTGGGAGAATTTTTGAACGCTCTTGAATATAGTGACCAAACAGCACTTAAGTTTCAAGTATTCTGTTTACGTGATGATAGCAATAACATTTTAAAGAATGGTTCTAGGGAAATTAAAGCACATGTATCAAATGGTAGTGAGGAAATGAAAGGCCGATTGTTTCTATTGTTCTGCCCACGTTGATATTTGTGGATTTAGTGAATTTGTGTTCACAGGGAGACAGCCCTCAAGAAGACAAGCCTTTCTTGTTCACAGGTTCCTCTGTGTTTGAACTGTATATATGCACGTATGTATTTTTGCATGGCATACATTTTAAGCATTGACTTTACTGATTCTGATGAAAAAGAAACATATGTCTCATATTAGAACCATTTCTTTAATCTGCTGCAGAGCCTCTCAAGCCACGGGAAGAGCTTGTGTATGTTGTCTCCCTAATGTACTATGATTTCTTTGAATTCTCTGTGCAGGGAAAGGACGTTTAGAAGGGAACACCCAAGACATGTCACGGGCCAACAGTTTCACTGATGACATTGACCTTGTATCGGAAGAGTCGCCCCTGCCAGCGGTATCTGATGTGACGCAGTAAGTGGGACAACAGCTCTTTAATTGATAATATAAATGCTCATTAATAGTGAGGGAGACTTGTCACTGAACAAAAGTATTATTCTTTGGCTGGCTGCACTTGAAGTGATTACGAGTTTGATCTTATTTAACTAAACGTGAACATTTCGACAAAATGCAAGTTTAGCCATCGAGGTTAACAGAAGTAGTCAAGACACTTGGAAAAATCAGCTCTGTGTCTTTATTGTTTTGCTTTGTAAGGTAGCTGACAGAGTTCCTGAGATTGAGCTTTGCAGGTAGTTTTATACACTGTAGAATTCTGCATCAGTTTAAGCTCTAAAGCGCTGCTAATATGAATAGGATACGAATTGATTGGAAACATAAATTAAGTTGTCATTTGTAGCTACAGTCTGAAAATAGAAAGGCTACATTACGTGTAATATTTTTATGAAGCAGGTGCACTTGTAAGGAAACAGTGTTTCACAAATATGAAAGTAAAATTATTGAGGAGATGCTGCAGGTCTCTGCATTATCCAGGACAGAAAATGCCCGTTATCAGGTAGTTCACTGCAGTTGCTGAATTGTTGCTTTTACTTAATTTAGCAAATATGTATTTCTTGAAATAAACATGATAGTATCTTTGTGCAGGACACCTCCATATTGTGTTTTGGCAGGATCTTGAGTGACCTTCACTTTTTTGCCCTGTAATGTACATGTCCAGTTTTGGGGATGGGGATTCTGGAGTAAATTTCAAATGTAAAGCAGAGCATTAAAACATAGAGCAAGGCCTGGATGGACCAGAGCATCCAGGTACCATACTAATACTTTATTTCACATGCAGAAACTGGTACAAATGATGCTGGTGGGTAGAGCTCTTGAGTCAGCTCAAGTAAATATCTGAGACTGAAGGAAAGAAAAGAAACAACAAAAATTGTTGCTTGCCTTCAGATAGGGAAAAATATCAACAATGGTGTTCAGGAAGAATTTGAAAGCAATTATTCCATTGTATAGAATGATTGGTTTCAAGATGTTTTCTTTCACATCATATGGTTACTTTCTGTCCAGGTAACTCATACAGATGATGTGTCTGCTACATCTATAGTAACTATACTCTGCTTTCCTACTGGATATCCTGGTGCTTTTAGTTCCCAACATGCTATATTTTGGATCTGCTTTCAAATCAGAACTATAAATTTTTCTATTCGAATTGGTAGGTTTTGGTTTGACTTTGTTTTCTCTTTTTTTTTTTAATCAATGTGGTACAAACACAGGGTTTTACATTAAAAAAAAATAGTTCCAATCTTTTTTCTACTGTTTAGTGCATGAAAAAAATGGAGGAATTTTATGTTACTTTGTGTATACTTGCAAAGTATACCTGTGGTTTTAGTTCATATTAGAGTTTAAATGCATTTCTCTTTTGTGGGGAAAGTAAGAAAAAGAATAGCAGAAAGCTCACCAAATGCGCAAATGCAAAAAACCCACCTAAAGTAGGGAGAGATTTAAAGTAATATGCTACACAGTTTAAAGTAATATACTATTAAATCAGTAATTTCTAATGATGTGGATGTCAACAGAATGTTCTTGCAACTGAATATTGCTAAATTAATAATTTTTATGTTCTAAGGTTGACCATAGATAAAACATGCATAATTTTTAACTTCTGAATATTTGTAATAAACTTCAAATGTACAGAATGTATAAGGCTAAAAATGATAGATGTAATATAAAGTTAAAAGGTGCCATGTAAAAATGAAATCAAACAAAACATCATATCATGTAGCTTTATGGTTCTAAAGTCAAACTTGCCAGTTTTCACCTCTATCACTGATCATCTCATTTTCTAACTGTGCAGTTCTACCTAGTGGGATCCATTTAAGAGTTGTCCTGATTCTTGAGCAGAAATGTAGTATTTAATTATTCAAAATATGAGCTTCATTGGAGGAGCACAGAGCACGGTATATTTATGGATCATGGTTTTAAACTGCCAATCCTATTGCAAACAACAAGATATTAACACTGTATTTGCTTGATATGAACCTACATCAACATTAGATATACTTAGCATAATTATTTATCTTGTCTTTTAGCAGAAGTGTAAGCAGGTAAGTCTTTGTGTGTGTTACACTTCCTTTGGTGTGTGAGCTTTCCAAAGCAGCATGGCCTTTGCTTGTCACTTAACTAGTGCAACAAATTTTCATCCTAGACTCGCAAAAGCAGTCAATGATTAGACAAAAATACTTCCAAGAGTAGAATTCAGCCAAAGAGGTGTATATATATATATGTACACACTGTGAGCCTTCTCAGTTTGCAAAATAAGTGAAAACATGGCTTTCATGTAGCAGTTAATGACATCATCCTTTGATGATGACGACAGTTTCACGTGGAGCACTTTGCGAACTCAAGTTTGACTTTGTCAAGCCGCCAAAAGGCAAAGTTTTCTTTGCCTTCAACAAGTCTTATGGGCTAAAAAAGTCAATCCTGCAGTAAACCTTTCTTTCAAAGCCAGTAACTGGTAATTTTTTAAAGTTCTAAGCTGCTGTGTTGATTATTAAACATGAAATGTCAGGTAATGTTTTGAGGGGGTTTTTTTTCTGTAATGTGAGCAATAGATTCTTCTAAAATCCACTCTGCTGGACCAGTGATAGATGTTCTCTGGTGACAGTGACCTTTACTTTAGGCCATATTCTCTTCAAAACTCCCTTCATTGTGTGGGAAGGGCACATACTGTCTCAGGAGAAGAGTTCCCACCCTTGAGCCCTTAGACAAACCTCTCTTGCATCAGTCTGCATCACGTCTGCATCAAGTTTAAATGAAGTGAATAAAGTGGTTTCTTGGCAAAACCCATCAGGCTGGTTGAAAACTTGTGATGTTACTGTTTAAGATGTCTTGAGTGAAAGCAAACCTGTTCAATGGGTTGCAGCACTTCCCAGGTCTCCATGGTTGATACATCCAGTATTGGAATTCTGATGTTAGTGATCCATGCAAGCTTAGAGAAGACACATTGTCCTAGTAGAAGGTGTCAATAAAATCAAAACCAAATAGCAAGCTTGAAAATTGAGCTTAAGAGACCTTTTTTGTAGAAACGTAACTGTTTTGGACCCTTTAGATAGTTGGGATGATGTTTGTTTCCAGTGATCTGTGCAAAAATGTGAAAAAATGCAACCTCCTGAGCTGGGGAACAAAAGCATCGTATTCGATATGTGATTCTGTGACTGTTTGAACTTCTTGCTGAGTATCTCAGGTCCATCTTCTCAGGGGCAAAAATCTCTTGGCTTCTGACCTGAGTAGATCTATGTTGCTTTAATCTGGCTGCTTCTGAGGTGTCCAAAGTTGAGTAAGAATGATGTTGTTAGAGATGAATCAAATCTGACAGCTGAAATAAATATGTTAATTTCAATCATCTGATGAGTAGTTCTGTTTTTAACAATAAATGCTTGGAGTACCTCATTGCCTGATGTAATTACCCCCTTAATTTTTCAAGTTCTCTGATGAGCAGTCAGAAGGTGATTCCATCAGTGCATAGAGAGCCTGCAAAATGGTCCTTTGTACTTTGAAATCTAGAAAAAAATAGCATTTGTATTTGTTTCATTGCAGCACAAATTTCTTGATCCTTAGGGTTAGTCTTCTACATATATTGGTAACTATCTGAATTAAGTTATAGATTAGTGAAGGTCTAAGTCTTGAGAATGATAAAAACTAAGTTTCCAGCTCTAGAAATAACAGTTTGCTTTTTCTTGCTATCCTTAGCACTTTCTTTATATTACTTGATTCTTTTTTTTCTTGAGAAACATGAAAAATCAAACAATTTAAAGATGGATCCATCATCCAGCTTAATTCAGCATAATGCCTAATGCCACTGCTTTCTCCGTGATGTTATGTCTTGAAGCCCCTCTTATTTCCTACTGTATGTACACAAATTTTCTGACAGAAAGACGTAGAAGCTGGTATAGAATTAGGCCTGTTCGTAAAAATAATACCTGACAAATTCCTTTATTGCTGTAACAGATTGCTTACTAATGACAGAGGCAAGAGATTACTCCAAATAGCACTTATTAAGCAAGTGGCAAGCTGTGATTTCTGCTCTTTTTTTTCAGTCTTGTCTCCTCTCCATTGCTGGCAGGACTGTTTTATCTGTCTGATGAACATATCATGTATATCACAATGTCTTTGAGGAAAAGAGCTGATGCTCTTGAGGTCTGTAAAATGAGTAATCTGCAAGCTTGCTAATTCTTTAACTGCGTCCATAAACCACAAAAATGCGAAGAAAACATCTCAAAAGTGTGTGTGAATTTGGTAAGCAGCAAATAGAAGAAAGGAGAAGAAATGCACATAGGAATGAGAGCAGGGACAGCAAACCTTAGTGAATTTTTGGTCCTTCTTGCTTGTCCAAACATTTAAGGCCAGCTGCTCCCAACAGATGGCTCAAACCAGAAATTATAGTTGTGCCTTACATGTGTTAAGTGACAGTCTTTGGGGATAGGTACGTTCTGTGAGGACTCTGGACCTGGCTAGTTTGAAGAAAAGGAGGCTGAGGGGTGATCTCCCTGCTCTCTGAAGCTTCCTTAGGTGGGGAGATGGTGAGAGAGGTGCTGGTCTCTTCTCCCTGGTATCCAGTGACAGGACACATAAGAATGTCTCAAAGGTGCTGTTTGGGCTGGACATGGTGCTGGAGCATGTCCAGAGAAGGGCAATGAAGCTGGTGAAATGTCTAGAGTAAGTCATATGAGGAGCAGCTGAGGGAGCTGGGGATGTTTAGCCTGGAGAAAAGGAGATTCAGTGTGGATCTTATCATTTTCTACAACTAGGTTGTTGTACAAAGGAGGTTGTATCCGGGTGGGGTCGGTCTCATCTCAGGAGGAAATGACCTCAAGCTGCACCAGGGGAGATTCAGATTGGACATCAGGAAGAATTTCTTCATTGAAAGGGTGCTTAAGCATTGGAACAAGCTGCCCAGGGAGATGTTGGAGTCACCATCCCTGGAGATGTTCAAGAAACCACTGGATGGTTTAGTTGACAGGTTG